TAGCATCAATATATTGTATTTCAGATCCTTTGTGGTGAGGTTTTCATAATCATGATGATTTTTTTAGATTTAGATATTTAAGAATCTTAGGATTTATGTTTAATTTATTCCCTAAATGATGTTATTCTTGTAAATATTGTGTTTTTATGGTATTAAATGACCCTATAAGATTCTCTTAAGCTTTATTTGTTAATTGGAGTTAAACTTGAGTGTTTAGGAGGGTCTTTGGGTGATTTCCAAGCCTTATTCAGGGTTTTCTGTATTGTAGTATCAATATTATTCTTGTAGTATCGGTACTAGTATCGATATCAGTATCAATACTAGTATCAATATCTATACCAATACAAGTATCAATAATGTCCAATACCAAAAGTTTCAAAATATCACTCGTCACATTCGAATATCTATATATTGCTATAAAATGTACAAGTAAGCTTGGAAAAAGGTCTTAATTCATGAAATTATTGAAATACCCTTTAGGTGACATAAATTACCAAATACCCTTAATATGAAATAAACTTTAAAAGTACCCATAAAGGTACATGTAGCGAATGTTTGTGAATGACTGATCATTTCAAATAAATAAATACAAGCAAGATAATGTACCATGTGAAAAGTATGATAGAGGAATCGTGTACTACGTGAACGTCAATAAATCGAGGACGTACTAGTCGTTCTTCCAATTCAATGGTGAATAGAGGGGAAATATAATGAGAGCAACTAAAGTGTCGCTACCAAGTACTGAACCCAAGTCATGTATCAGGCCATCAAATAATACAACAAATGAGTAGCAGTAATGACAATCATCGTAGAGCGTGAAACACTAAAGGCAATTTCAGAGGTAAAAATAACAAAAACACCCTTTAGTGTTAAATGGCCATAATAGAGTAGATTAGTAAGCTAACGAACGTGAGAGACTAGTAAACCTTTGCATAACATTCTAGATGAGAGAACGAGCAAGATAGTGGCGGGAAAGGGTATGACCTCACCTAATTATGATAAGTTTGATAGTTAGTAGCCGAGTTATCTTGCTTGTTTTACGTAGCATTGATTGATATGTGTCGAGACGTTTAGCTCCAGGAAATAGCTTTATAATAACGATAAGATACTAATGTAATAATAATGTTATTTGTGTGATAACCTAAGAACCTTATGAGGTGAAATTCCATAAGACTTATATCTTGTTTTCCGCTCAAGAAACACAGATGACACCTGAGTTACTTCTATGTGTGACAATCGTCTTATTGACTAAGAAAATATTTGGATATATCCAAACAAGTACAAGGGCACTTAAAACGTTAGTTGAACGTTATACTGATGCCATGTGACCCATACATGTTTTAAGTACTCTAGAGGAGAATACTAGCCAGGTACTAATACTATGTAACCTAGACCTAGCCTAGGATACTTGGGAGATATTGATGCTATGTGACGCAGATCTTACCCAAGGTACATCTAATAAGAAAATAGGGGTGTGAGTTCTGTGATGGTCTGTGACCTTGAGCTATACCATGATGCTTACTTGTTGTGTGATTGTACCTGTCGTCTCTATGATATCAGGTACTATAATTGTGTGTTGCATGATGATGCATTGTAGAATGATACTAAGGTTAAAGACCCAATATGTGTTACTCATGATGGGGCCCTTAGCGGAGACTAAGAGAAGCGTGAGACTTATATTACAGTGGCAAAACTGTTGAACCTAAAGTAGGTAGCACTTTATTAGGATTATGCATGTACCTACTACTTAGTATCATGCCTTTATCATGCTTGTATTTGTGAGACTCATAATGCTGCTATAGATTAACGATTATATTGTCGAGCTTTGTAAGCTCAACGTTCAAATGTTTTCATCCGCAATTTTTTAGCGTAAGTCGTTCGAAGAGCACTATCTCAGCAGGATTTCTAGCATTACTTTTAGAGTATTGTAATATAGTTTTAATGGACATGTGTATTCGTAGGATCTTATTTATGTATTTGGTTTACAACTTAAGTTGCATTATTTGTTTTAAAATATGTTTCATAGAGCTCCGATTTATAAAGGTGTTTTTACAATTATTGTGTATGTCTATTTTGATACCATATAATATGTTTAAAAAGAAAATGAACATATTTTAAAAATCAGGGGTTGCCTCGACAACCTAATATGACATTTTAGGTCTAATCGAATTTAGATTGTTACATATCAACCGTATACCTACCCATCATTGGCCTCACTTATAGTTTAAACCTCCAAAATCTCTAAATTCCAATACACATCTATCCCAATTGATGGGTGAGTGATCATTGACGATGATGGTGGTAAGTGGTTGAATTGAAAATCTTTGAGTATTTTATGAAAAATACAAAAATATTTAAAAAAAAATTAAATTAAATAAATAATTAAACGACGAGTTAAATATCGATTTGTTAATTAATTTTTAATATTTTTTTTATTGATCATTACAATATAAAACTTAAATTAATAACATTTATAATATCAAACCTGGATTACAACAACAACAACAAAATCCTATTCCCATATGCAATGGGGTAAGGGGGATGTAGGGTAGTAGGCTGCCCTCAACGCATGGTTGAGAGCAGCTTCCGTGGAAGACCTCCGGCAGTCAGAAAATTAAAAATAAAGATAAAATGCAATGCATGTATAAATAAATAAATAAATACATATTTAAACAGTCTTCATATACAGTCTTAATATGCGCTTCTGTAATGGGAAGTAATCCCAGCTAATAAATCCCTGCATAATAATCTCTGCATATAAACAGAAACGTAAGACCCGACTAAAATTAAAAAGATGAAATATGAAGAGAATGATACACAGAAGTCAACGATAGCAAGCTACGAGAAGGAATAAAGTCAAATGGGTTAAAACCTAAACTAAGGCAACACTAATCCGCTACCCTAGTTCTAAGTCTTCATTAATTCCAATGACAGAAACATATAAAAAGTAGAAGTCATAGAAATTACAACAAAGACATTAAAAGAAGACAGAAATGTTACACCCTATGGATGTGGCCCGCACTAATCGACTACCCTGGTCTTAAGTCTCCATACTTTCCTATCAGAGGTCATGTCCTCGGTAAGGGCTAAATTCTTCAAATCAGATATCAAGTAGTCTTCCCACTTTCGAGTAAGGACAAGAAAAAAAGAATATTCTACATTTGTTTTAGTTAAGATTTAGAAAGCATCCCTAACAAGATGTTCAAGCAAATATGCTAAAGTAGAAATTGAAGAAGTGCAAATGCCATAAGCCCATAACCCACATCTAATATTGGTCGTACAGCTATAATGTCCTTGTTCATAGTTTATACTTGATGATGGGTTCTCTACATCTATTTTTTGTACTGTTTTATAGACAACCAAAAGATAACAGCACATAAAATAATGCAAGGACATCTAGTTAAGACACACATGTGGAGAGAGAAAGAGCGTCCAGAAAACAATCTTGCCTTCATTGAACATTTTGGGTGTCATTGGATTTGACACTTTCGACCCATCTCTTTCCCACCTCCACTGGCCATCTGATTTTGGAGCTGGATTGAAATTTTCAAACATTTAAATAAGAAAAGAAGCATAAGAAAAAAATAATTTGAACAATATTTTATTTTTATGCCAAAAATTATTATATCGATTCGATTGATAAATTGCTCAAAGTCCAATTTCCAAACCAGATTTCTGGAGCAGTATCTAAATTGAATTCGCTTCTTGTTTTCCCGTAATCCGCAAAAAATAAATCAAAACTCTCTCGAAAAGCTTGAACCCGCCAAATTTAAATTTCTAAAAGGCTTAATAATAAAATAAGTGACTAAACTATACATATTTTCACAAATAGGTGTCTAAAGTATTTTTTGTTCATTTAGGTGTATAATATTATAAACGTTACCACTTTAGATGTTCACCGTCAATTACGTTAATTTCCCCTGTTAAGTGACACATGCCATAATATGATAATTTTAAAATTGTTGTATAAAAAAAAATTGTATATTTTTTTTAAAATAAAACATAAATTTTTGAAATAAACCCAAAACTTTAAAAATCTTCATTTCAACCTATAAACCCAAGCCGACCACTACCCTTTCCCATCAACGAAGCTCCACCCGAACTCACCTCCCCCGATGATCAAAACCCTTATGAAATCGTGATCAATTGATGGTCGATAGGCGACGAATCGATGTTTTATACCCCTCGAACCCTAGGTTGAAAATCGCGATCCCATGTGATTCCTACGACCAATCAGTAGCAAATGCGACGACATATGACTAGGAGGATGGCAGGGAATACGTCGACGGTGATGGTTGTGGCCGGAAAGTGCGTCTATGACGGATTAAGGTTAGAATTTAGAGATTTTGGGGATTTGGGGGGCTATTTTATAATTTAAGAGAAATTATGTTTTTTTAATAAATATAATAATACTTTTAAAAATAAATTTCAAAATCACCAGATTTTGACATGTGTCACTTAACATAAGAAATTAACGTCGTTGACAGCTGGGACACCTAAATAGATAACATTTATAACCTTAGACACTTAAATGAGTTGAAAAATACTTTAAACACGTATTCTTGAAAATAAGTATAATTTAAACACTTATTTTATACCTAGCCTTTCTAAAACACTCAAAAAGCACAATCCGCGTCACATGTTGTAAAATTACTCCCAACCGTCGATGAAATCCTATCAACGATTTATATGTAATTTAATAAACATAACACGGATAGATACTCTCGAGAAAAACTGGATCCGAAATTCCAATCTCACAGAGTCAGGGCATAAACATTGTACTCCTGATAACCATCGACGGTATGCATTCTGCTCATTATTTTCACGTGGATCGACACTTCTATACGTCCATAAGCATTTTAATCGTGCGACTCAGATTGATTCCCGCCAAACTTTTTAAAAAACCAAGGCACCTATAATTCGATCTATAAATAACATCACAATCTTATTACCTTCTCACTTGCATTTCATTCCTGTTTCTCATTCTTAGAACTTAAATAGTTTTACTAGATTTTCCAAAGCTTTCAAATACAATGTCAGGAAGGGGAAAGGGAGGTAAGGGTCTTGGAAAGGGAGGAGCCAAGAGGCACAGGAAGGTCCTAAGGGATAACATCCAGGGTATTACAAAGCCTGCGATTCGCCGTTTGGCTCGCAGAGGTGGAGTCAAAAGAATCAGCGGCTTGATCTATGAAGAGACCAGAGGGGTATTGAAGATCTTCTTAGAGAACGTGATTCGTGATGCGGTGACCTACACTGAGCACGCAAGAAGGAAGACTGTCACAGCCATGGATGTTGTTTATGCCTTGAAAAGGCAAGGCAGGACCCTCTATGGATTTGGAGGTTAAGTAAAGCAATCTTCATGTTTGATGTAGCTTTGAAATATTAAGCTTGTGTTGTCGAATCATGGATATTGGCTATAGATCTTTGCTTTTATGTAATTGTATCGGATCGTTGTTGATGCTCCTGCAATATTTGATGTTTTCAATATCATCAAAGGAATTAGTTCATCAAAGTTTTGCATCTATACAGTTTTGTTCGTGTTTGCTGTTTCGAGGGAATAATTTTTTCGTATTGTATTTCAGTCGTTAATTTCACAAGCCGTTCTATGGATCTATAACTTGGTTGGTAATGGCTGAGCTCTGTACCACCAACTCCTCTGATTAAAAAATATTTTTTAAAGTAAAATAACTTAATCATCGCTGTCGATTCGCCATTTGGGCTTGTCAATTAGGTGGTTGTAGTTGGCCATTACTTCTATGTTTGGTGCTTCTAGATTTTTTCTTCACTTTGTCAATGACGGTGAAATAATAAAATGAGATTAGTTGAGGATATGGCGCATTGGGTCTTGTCGTTCCATTAACGAAGTACAGCTGTCCAAGTAGAATTTCTTATAGCTGATTTGCTAATTTCAGTTACCGACTTCAGAATTTTCCTTGTCAAAATTGAATATCTTGACAGTAACATTTTTACTGGAAGACGATAGAGGTTCTACGTACATGCAACAGATGTATAATCACCCATGCCCGTCGCTTTTTCTTCGATCGGACGATCCCGTTTGAACATTACCATAGCACAGCCACGTGCCTTTGAAGCTTCCCACGCTTTTCTCGACGCGGAGTTTGCCCCTCCAAATACGACCAACACCTCGAATTTCGTTGTCCTTATCCTTCAGAACCAGAGAAAAACCGCTTACCCGATTTTAGTAGAAAAGTACGGAAGACACTCTTCAGCTTTGCGAATCGAGTTCCGGCATTGTTACTGGTTGCTTACCGTTGCCGGTATGGGAGTGTCGAGCGACGACGCCGTTTTGATCCAGAATGGAAAGAAGCCGGGAGAGCCTCATGTAATTACCGTTAATTGTCCAGATAAGCATGGCCTAGGATGCGATATTTGCCATATAATCCTTGATTTCGTTCTATACATCACCAAAGGAGGTGAATTCTTTGATCCCTTTTTCGTATTTGTAATTATTGGATTTGTATGGCTAAATTTTCATTACCCGAAATTATGAATTCTATTTTACTAGTTTTGTTCTGGAACTTTGATATGAGCTGAAACCAGGTATTTTCTAGATTAGCTTAGCTATGCTTTAACGGTCAATGTTTTCTGGTCGTAGATGTTTCAACCGATGGGATTGGTGCTTTTTGATATTTTGGGTGGTACCTCATTCGAGTTCACATTTTATAAGGTGGCCAAGTTTGAAGAGCCGGCTTCAATCCTTATGTCCTTGTTCTGTGACATTTTACTTGAATGATCAACCTTCGCACTCTGCGGCTTCTCCGGTTTACTTCTTGAAGTTCTTTTGCCTTGATCGGAAAGGATTGCTACACGGTAATCATGATTCCAATTAAATGTTCCTTATGTTAGGTTGTAAAATTAGCCTTTAGCAAATATCTTGAGAATGGATTTGGATTCTAAACAAATTATTGTGGAAGAAATTTTAGAAATGAAACAGTTACAAATAAAGTGTTTTCCATTCATAATTGTTAAGGATTTTGTTTATAAGGTGGTTTATACATTGACTAAAAGCTCATTTGAGATTAATTCCTTTACGGCCCTGATTATTGCGGGTGTGTGTTCTTTCTGGTTTGGTGTGCTTTCCATAGTCAAATCTAATGTGGTTAGGATCTTGTATTAGATGTCACACAGGTTCTCACCGTGCTTGAGCTTGCAATTCTAAAGGTGAAAGTTACAACAACCCCAGATGGCAGAGTCCTCGACCTCTTCTTTATAACCGATAACATGTAAGATTTTCTTTTCTTTCTTTGAGATGGATGCACTGCTTTTTTGCTTCTTCTTTTTAGATATATTCACTAGTGTAATAGCAGTTTCATGTAGCTTATGAGCTTTTCTTTAAGAAATTTCAGCTCTTTATCACTGTTTGATATGTTGACGTATTTAGGCTCTAGCATTTAAATGTTGTGCTGAAGGTCAATACTTTTGGATCACTTAATCAATTATCAAGTGGTCCACTTGTAATGAAAATAAAATAATTGTCTTTTCATGTAGTTTGTGGTTTTATTTCGTCTTCATCATCGTGTTTTATTTTTCTTTAGGCCTTTGTTTCTTTATATTTTGTTTTTCTATCTAAAGACCTTGGTCTATTCTATATATTGTCTTTCTATCTGTTGCCATCTACGTGTCATGGGAAATAACCTGAACACCTTTTTTTCTTGGTACCTGTATTGTTAATCTTACTTATAGTTCTTTTCAGAGTACCTCTTCATCGAAGAGTGAAAATAACATGGTATGTGCTCTATTGATGATTGAGCTGTTATTTGTAGATTTGGGCAGCTTAGAACTTTTGGACCAGTTCTTTGGAAATTTTGTAATTGTACTAATAATAACCAAGTGCCGAAGGAATTAAGTATTGAACAATATGTTTATTAATCTTAATTGTGTTTCATCATTGCCAGGGAGCTTTTACACACCAAAGAACGACAAAATGACTTGCATAAACAATTAGATGCTGTGTTGGGTGAATCATGTGTCAGTTGTGAACTCAAGTTGGCAGGTCCAGAGTATGAATATCATCATGCTATCTCATCTCTTTCTCCTTCTGTAGCAGAAGAGTTATTTCGTTTTGAGCTATCTGATAAAGAGTCTCTTTTGCAAGCTCTTAGTTCTGATATGACGAGATTGAAGAAAGCTAATGTGGTTGTAGACAATTCATTGAGCCCAGCTCATACATTGCTTCAAATAAGTTGTGTTGAACACAAAGGCCTTTTCTACGACATCTTGAGAACTTTGAAAGACCGCAATATCAAGGTAAAACTGTTAATGTTTGAAAAGCATGGCCGGTTCTTTTTTTTTCTTTTGGATAAATTTTCAACTTTGTTGATTAATGCTATTTGTTTTTCTTTCCAGATAGCTTATGGTCTGTTCTCACCAAATTCCAATTATCGTGATTTATACCTCTTCATTCAGCAAAAAGATGGCAAGAAATTTGTGGACCCTGAGATGCAAAATGGATTATGCTCACTTGAAGGTGGAAATGCTTCACCCATTGCATGTCGTCATTGGTAACCGGGGGCCAGATACAGAACTTCTGGTTGCTAATCCAGTTGAGTTAGCTGGGAAGGGAAGACCACGGGTTTTCTATGATGTTACACTAGCTCTAAAGGCTCTTGGAATTTGCATATTCTCTGTAAGTGTTGTTAAAATAAAAGTGGTTTGAAGCCTATCAATAGATTGTAGCTTTTGCAAAGTTGCTAAGACATAATGTTATGAATTCAAGAACTCGCTAATATGAATTGAAATACTCAAACTGGATTTTCATTGAAGAACAAGAAAATACAGCAGTAAAGAAGATGTAAAGAAGATAGGAAGAGAAATAAGAAGGAAGATTAGAGGAGATTTAGAAAAGAAGAGAGGATAACAGATTGTCACAATATTCATGCCTCCTCTCACATGTACTCTTACCCAGCACCTACTGCTGACTTAGCCATGGTTGTTGTATGTGTTGCGTTAGCATAGGTTGCCTTTGGGTCATAACACATAACATAAAGATAACAATGATGCAATGCTTGGTATATCAATCTAGACGGTTTAGTTTATGTTTTCATTGTTCAATACAATTATGGTAGCGTGGTTTGCAGTTTTGAGCTAGAGATATTAAGGTAAGAAGACTTTTAGTTCATTCACCCAATCATTTCCTAGTTGAATCATTTTTTCCTGGACAGCAGCCAAACAATTGCTTTAACTTTCATTAACCATTTGATTTTTCGGGTTTTAGGCTGAAATCGGAAGACATTCGAGTTCAGACCATGAATGGGAAGTCTACAGATTTCTTTTGGATGAGAAATGTGGATTCCAATTATCAAGTATGTCAGCTAGAAATCAGATTGTCGATAGAGTCAGAAGAATGCTGATGGGTTGGTGAGTGCCACCGCTAATGATCTGCCTGTGGCCTGACTCGCCTGGCCTCCCATTCTGTCTTTATATTCTGAAACGAACCTTCATTTAGTAACCATTGTCGAGCATGTGCTAGTTCAAATGTGTGTGCACTTTATTTGTGGTAGAGATGGACAGAATATTCCGAAGATTTTCTCTAATCTGATGTAGAGCATGCTCATCCATGGCCGGCTGTGGCTGGTTTGCTGGAGGAAGGGTTGCCATCGTTTATTGTGTCTTTATGGCACACTTCAGTTTCAACTGTAAATTCCGGATTGTATTATACTTTATGAGTTAAGCCTATGAACCTTTGTAATACTGAACATAAACATTGAAGTTTTGCATCCCATAATGCAATCCTCAATGCAGATGAAATAAAGGTAAAACGACTTTACAATCACATTTGTGTAAATACTACTAAAATGGGAAAATGTTTATTTGAGAAAAACAGAAGGATGAAAGGTATAAATAGGAAAAATGAATTTCTCGAATGTATTTGAGAAAAAAAAACTAAAATAAATGAGAGAACTGACCACTTTTTTATCATCATGTGTAAAACTAAATTATTTTAATTCATGAAAATGATAAAAAAAAATATAAATTAACTTAAAAATATGTAATTTTAAAAAACATTTTCCTTATATTTTTCAACTTTATCAAACAATAAATATAAAATAATATATATGATTTAATCTTTACATCTTTCTACCAAGCATATCAATAAAAAGGAAAAAAAGTATCAAGTAACGATACGATACAATCATCAAACATAATTCCTAATATCATTTCTCTATCGCACGTCTCTCTTCTCCACCACCGTGATTTTCTTCTTCACCGACTGTCGTAGCCTTGGTTTTAAAAGGCGCGCTTCGAGCTCTCCTAGATACAAGGTTCAGCCCGGCACTGAAGATGGCGCCCCTTGGGTTGAGGCGAGGCGAGGCGAGATACAAGAGGCGCACGCCTTCGGGCTTTAGACGTCGGGCGCCTTTGCGCCTTTCATTTTTACTATTTTAATAAATTATTATATTTTAATATTAAAAACCCAACTTAAAATATTCCATTAACGATACAATACAATCACCAAACATAATTCCTAATATCCTATCTCTATCGCACGTCTCTCTTCTTCACCACTGTGATTTTCTTCTTCACCAGCCATCACAGTAGCCACCACAGACCAAGTAGTTCTTTTGCTCTTATAATAATAAGATAAAACTAATCTATAAAATAATAGATTGATATAGTAAATAAGATAGTGCCACCGTCTGTCCCTTCAGTTTTTGTTGTTATTGTTATATTCTAATATAATAAAGATAGCCTAAAAATAAACTAATATTAAAAATGTAATTAAAATATAAATAGATAGTGTCACCGCATGTCCCTGACTCCCCTCACCTTAGGATAAGTGTCTCCCACTGTTTTTTATTCTTTGTTAATTTGTGTGGACAACACCACATCAAAACTTTCCCAACTCTTTTCTTATTTCAAAACAAATTTGTTTACACTAATTTTTTTGACCTTTTATTAATATACTCGTACTTATATTAACTTTAAAAACGAATCATTATAATTTATTATTTATAATAAGAAAAGATATAAAATATTAACTAAATCAGAATTTATATAATTTTTAAATAAAATAATAAGAGATTTCATTAATTTACTTTGAAATTAAAATTATTCATTATATATAATACAACCAGTGTGCCTCGCATGCAAAAGGCACACGCAAGCGCCTAGGTTCTAGGGACCTTTTGCGCTTAGGTACGCCTTGTACCTTTAAAAACCAAGGTTGGAAGGACCAACATATTCACTTTCCGGAAAATTTTCTTTTGCCAGCTTCAAAAATTAAAGGTGGAGCCGGTCCTACTGCATTATCTTTCGCAGATTAAGGTTCTCCGAGGTATGATTTATTACCATCAACTTCTTCTAAGATCATGGGGCTTTTGACTATTCAAATATAACCTTAATTTTTACTTCCTGCAGGCATGGAACTGAGAATGGCTACAAGTACAAGGCTCAAAACCTGTCTGTATAGCTTTACTTCACCTGGTGGTCCAATGTATCCTACAAGGGCTGTCCGTCATGTGGTTTGGGATGCCTTACATTTCCTTTTTCCCGCAAGTACCCTTTGGAACTGCTCTTTACAGTGACTAGCGTTTCGGAAATAAAACAAACAAAGCAGTGATTTTCGACTTTTGAAATAGGGGTTGTCAGGACTTGAATGAATATCTTCGCGAGACATAAATGAACTGTAATTAGACTCATTAATTGAGTCAATACTAACAAACCCATAAATGCTCTTTAACGAATTTCCAAGTTGAAAATCCATCCACACATTGCATCCAAGTTGCTCTGAATCTCTGATGCATTATTCATAAGCTAATCGTGTTTACATGCACGTAGAAGCTTAGAGTGGACTCTTACAAGTAAATATACTTCCATTGGAAAATTGGTCTTCTGAATTTTAGTTAGTCATCTGCTTACAAAGCAAGTATAGGGATAGCAAGGGCGATGGGGGCAGAGTGGTTTCTTTGTCGCCTCAACCCCATCTCAATTTTTATGCCTCCTATCCTGAATTAGATTTTGTTTAAAACTTCAGCATTAGAACTGAACCTCGACATCTAATAATTGCTACTATTGTTGTTTTGCAGGTAGGACGTTACCCTCGACATCTAATAAGCTTGCTCTTTAGACTGTTATATCCCTGGTATTGGCCATCTTCATGTTGGAACTTTATAGTGTCTTGCATAAAGGCTGTTTTCTATTCTTTGTTGGTATTGATCTATTCTAGGTGGGGAAAACTTAAGAGAGCGCAAATCGGCTTAATACATTTTCAAATATGAGTTCAATAAGTTACGCAAAACTATAGGTTGTATGATTACATGTGTCAAGTATGTTTCTCTTAGTTTTTTTCTTTTTAATTTACTTTCTTGGCCTTTTAGATAAGGGGGTAGAGTCTTGGCCCTCATGTAAAGTGTTTTTTTTTTTAAATTTAAATAACTGAATTTTTTGACCCAGAGTCCAAGCGTCAAACGGCATTTATAGAACATTACAATATTTTGAAGGTTGTTTTCTAAAAAGTTTAGTTTTAGTTTGATTGCAATTTATGGGCAGGCTATTGACTCGGGCGTTAAGCTTACGCGATAAATGTTCAGCCCTTTAGCGTAGGGTTGGTTGGATCTCAAGTAGGAAGGATCAGTTCTGTTGGAACCTCGGCCCTCTAATCCAATGCTCAGAAAACCAAGACAATAGGACATTTAGCTAGGGCTAGTTGCCATCTGCTATGAATGAAAAATATCAGCGTATATTTTGCTTATAAACAGGCATAATTATCATTTGAACATTTAATAACATCGAAGGGGGCCGAACCCAGTTTAGACTTGGCTGCGAAATGTATCAGTAGCATAAAGTCGAACACAACGGGGAGCAGTAACTCGATGAATTTACATTCGCAAAAGATTAAATCGTATCCAGTTCGGTGTAACCTTTAGCATTAAACTCCAGTTCATTCACCGAATTAAACGCCCAATATGATATTGTTTCGAATTAGATTTCTATTAATAAAATATTAAACCGAACATATATTTATCCAAAATTGGAAAGATAAGCATATAACATGACGAACAAATCAGTTCAACATTCCACCGTTTTAAACTAAAATTGGTGACAGACCGAACACTGCTGGAGTGAAAGAACCATCACTTCTTAAACTAACACAGTGAATTGTCCTTGAGATGGTAACAAAGTACTTTCTCGTCCATATAAAACTAAAATAGGTAGAATTCATATAAAGATATCAACCAGAGAGTAGATGAGACCACTAGGTCCAATAACTAGGCAGACCCGTAAATAGGAAAACCAGCACTCACTAACTTCATTGTCCAAAGGTTGAAGCTAGCTTCCATAGTCGTGATTTATAGAGTTATGCCAACTATGAGAACCATATAAAGCATTGGTGGCTTTCAATTTCCTAAAATCGATTCAGAGGAAGACGTGCTTCCTCATGCTGAATTAAAGCCATTTGACCCAAACAATAAGCATAGCAGCTCGCTGTATGACAAAAAAAAGGTCGTGCAAATTCCCACCATTTAAGTCTTGGCTCTTCATAAAGTATATCACGCCCTAACTACTCACTAATGGGTTTCAAGATTTTAACACCCAATCCAAACTTCTAGACCTCCTCAGAACCTCAAAAATGAAATGCAGGCATACACATGCCCCAGGAGTGATTAATACTTGATTCACTTGCTATAGAGACTGAAAGAAAAACTTCAGAATCTTAGTGTACTTCAACAGATTTCTATTATCATTTCAACTTGAAACCAAGCCCTATATGCAAAATCCGTCAACAGCCTTTCTCCACCACGGTTGAACTGAAGCAGAGAGATTCAACAATGATTGACTACGATAAGTCACATCAGGAGACTACATAGATAAAGGGGAAAGAATAGTATCCCTTGGCACCAATATATAGGGTGAAGTCTAAATAAGAAAAGCAATTGCTTCACACATAATTCAAAGGACAGATTCTGAAAAAAGGAAACAAGAGAACATAAAAGGAATCTACCTTGATTGCAGTCTACCTCGTCCCAAAATGCAGGAGCAACCAAAAGACAATGCAAGCTTTGGGCAACGGCGAGATTACTCCTTCCACAGGATGCAGCCAAATTTTCCTTTGCATATGGAAAACCGAGAGAAAAAGTTCTTTCATTCCTGACTTGTGGGATGAGTCAATGTCATAATTGCAGATTACAGAATGATAGCTTTCCACTAATCCACATTCTTTATACCCAAGTCAAAGGAACAATCAACAGTAAAAGCCCAAACTTCATAAAACTCAAGATACTAATAGTTCTCTCCATGACTAGTTCCTCTAAAGAGTTCTTTTGGTAGAGATATAGGAAATAGTTTAGCATCAAGCACATAATGTCCATAGTAGGAAAGACTTGAAGCCAACCAAAAGATGATCATTGCTTCAATTTGTCTGCATTGCTTCAGTATGATACTTCTCTAGATCAGCATCAAGATCTTCAGCAGAAACCTTTTCTCCACGGCCCCTTCCACGTCCACGGCCTCTTCCAAAGCCACGGCCTCCACCAGCACCACGTTGCCTACGAAATCCTCCACCCCTGCCACGGCCACTGTAAAATAACAACATCAAGATCAGATAAGTTACTTAAATTGATCAGTACTAGAAAACGGTTTATTAATAGCATGAACAAACAAAATGGAGCAAATATTCCACACAAATTCACCAACAAAAATTTTGGTACCAAATTCACCATACAATGAAAGCAAACAGACTTACAAATATGAATTATTGCATGAAACAAGATGTAGAACCATGAATTCTCTCAAGCTATCAGACTATTGTTAATCAAAAACAAGAATTTTAAAATAAATGGATGCATAAGATTAAACTTCTACCCAAATGAATCAAAGATAAAATGCAGCTTTAGAATTTTTCAGAAACCCAAGATAACTGGAAGTATAGGCAATTTTTTTAGCAGCATGTAACATCTCAAAAGAAACAGCATAAGAATTGACAGAATCTAAAATAAAGAATAAACAAGGTTAGTTTCATGCAAATTATAAAAAACTCGTACCCCCTAGGGGCTCCATTTGAACTTCCAAAAGCAAAATTAACAGCTACAGGTGCAGCAGGGGGGGCAATGTTTGTCCCCACGATCTCAATTTTCATTGGCTTCCCATCAAGCTGAACATTGTTGTATCTCTTGACCGCAGCCAAAGCATCAGCTTTCCGTGAGAAGACAACTTCTGCTGTTCCCTGGTAAGAGTTTTTTTTTTCTTTCTAAATTACAATGTGATGCAAATAATTTCAACAAAAGGAACAATCAATAGCAAACACGATCAGATACCTTCGATCTACCGGTCCAGTCATAATGAATTGCATAGCGTTTCAGGTCACCAACCTCAGAAAATAACTCCTATATATGAACACAAACATTAGAAAAAATCCCCCAAAAAAAAGGCCATAACAACAACACAATATCCATCTTAAAAAATTGAATGTGTTGCGAAGTATAGTTAGACTTCATTCAAATACATGAAAATTTTAAATTTAAATAATAGTTTAGCTACTCGCCACCCCCCCCCCCCAAAAAAGAGGCCTAATTACGGAGAAATAAAATTCAAATCAATATCGCGGTAACGTAATAACAAATTGAAACAAAAAAGAAAAATAATGCATTAAATACTAAAGAACATAGCAGAAAACAATTATAAAAAATTACTTTGATGTCGTCGTTAGAAACTCCAAAATCTAAATTAGAGATGTAGAGCTTCGTTCCAGTTTCTATTGCGGAGGCCCGACCGGCTTGTCCTTGGAACGCCGCTCCCTTGTCAGTATACATATCATGCTGCCACGACGAATCCGTCGCCTGAACAAAATCAAACGAACTTAGTTGATATAAAATGATCAAAACGAAATTAAGAAGAAAAAAAACACACACACAAAGAGAAGCATAATCAGATCCAAAACCCTAGCTATGTACCATAGAGGTGGGATACGGTGCCGAGCGGTTAGCTCCTCGGTTAGAAAAGCGACGGACGGGTCCAGCTCCAGATCCACGGCCTCGACCGCGGGGATTACCAGATCCGGACTTACGGTTACGCTTGATGAGGTCTTCTAGAGACATCTCTAAGGCACTTGACATTCTTTTAAATATTTTTTTCAGTTAGAACAAAGAAGAAAGAAAAACTCTAGAAAGATAAACGTAAGAACAGAGACACAGAGATGGAAGGAGCAGAGGTAGGGTTCCGCCAAAGAGAAACACAGAGTAGCGATTTGTATCCAAAAACATAAAAGAAAAGCTATTAACCTGTGTTTAAGTTATATTTTATTTAAGCTAAGCTATATTTTTTTCCGATGTAGTATCGTGGTGTAGTTGATTAACACGTTGGTCTGACACGCCGAAAGGTTTACGGTTCTAGTCTGGGCAATGCCAAATGTTTTACTTTTCTAACCTGAAAGTCAATAAATATTAAACAATGTGATTCACAAATGCCGACAAGCAACCATGTAATGTCGTGGTGTACTTGTTTATCACGTCATTCAATCACTTTGAAGGTCTCCGGTTCAAGTCTGAGCGATGCCATTCTCTTTTTCTTTTTTGCCGTTGTCACTAACCGGTTATAACTTAGGGTGCGTTTGGTTCACGGAATGTAAGATTATCAGTGAGAATAAAAGATTATCAGTGAGAATAAAAGATTATCAGAGAATAGGATTACTGGGAATGTTACATTACTGTGTTTGGTTGGTTTGGCAGGAATGGAAGATTACAATGTTTAATTGAAGGATTAAAATATTATTAGAATGTATATTTTACCAAATTACCCTTGTTCTATATTTTTTAACAAGTGAAATTCTAAATGTTTAAATAAAAATTATTTATATAAAAATTCTATTTGTTGATAATATATTACTTGAGTATTTAAATATATCATGTATTATTTTAATTTTAATTAATATTAAATTTTACATAATTTATGTAAAAATATATTAAAATTTTACATCATGTAATTAAATGTTTACATTGTGAAAATTCTTCATAGATATTCATAATAATAAAAAGATGTAAATTATTTTTGTTATCTAAGATATATTTTTTTTATATCTTCTATATACAATAATTTATTTATTTATTTATCTTTTATATTTATATTTAATTCTGCATACTTTATCATTATTATTTATCTCATGAATTTATATTATAAAAACATAATTCAAATAAGTAAGAAAATATAACACTAAAAATCATATTGTCTATAATTTTAAATTTCACCGTCATTCATCATTATCTGTGCTAATATTTTATCAAAGTAATGATAAAACCAACGGCCTTAAAAAATGCAGCCAATACTTTATCTTCCAGCTTTTGTTTTTGTTGCATGTTGTGGGTGGTTTTAAGTTGCTAGCTTAATAAAAAAACTCACATTTTTTTCTTTGGCTACTGGATTTTGGCAAGTTTTGGTTTCTTAATTGTAGGATGTGTTAGGTTTTAGCTTTAGCAGCCTGTGTGAAAGTTAATCTCCTTATAGCAAGTTTTGCAAAATCATGCTTGTTCCAGCTTAGTTAAGCCTTTTAACTTCAAATTCTCATGTACTCGGGCTTGAAAACTTGGTGATGCTGGGTTCTAATTTGGTTATCAAGCTTTCTGTTCATAGAATCGTTTTGATTTCTAGTTATTATTATTTTTGGATGACTTGATATGCAAAAAGTTGCTTTCTTTTGCTTTGTCAGGTTCATTTTCTTGGTGCTATCATGGATTCCCCACAGTCAGTTGTCTCACCATTCAAGAACTCTGTTTTTGTTGAGCCTGAGAATCAGAAACCCGAATTTTTCAGTACCAAAACTGGTGGTTTATTGTCGAATGGGTCCGACGTTAACCGAAAGGAAGAGAATATCATCGGTACCAAAACTTCCCGGAAATCATCATCCGATAAGAGGTCTCTAGCTAAATCAAACCCAGCTCTAAGAACTACTTTGCCCGAATCGGACACTGAATCCCATGTTCTATGATTTCGACTAGGGACTTTAAGTGAGGAAGAACCGCACAACCAATCAAAATAGCAATTTGTTGAACAATCTTGATCCCAGTATGCCTAGCTTGCCATGACTTCTTACTCTGACACAACTTTCAAAAATGGCAGAAGTACAAGAATCCCAAGTGCAGAAGCAACAATATTAAAAGCTCTAGCAGTTGTATTCCTAACATATTAGCAGAAGTGCAGGAATCCCAAGTGTCGAATTCATGTAATGCAAAAGTTAATGAGCAAACAAAATATTATCAAAAATTTTCCAACCTGGCAAGAAAGCCGCCTGAATGTCGCTAATACAAGCGGCCATGATCATGTCAAGAAAAATACACATCCTCATGTGATCCAAATTGTGCATCATTTGTGGTCCAAAATAGAAAACTAATCCATATGATAGAAGTGATTATAAAACTTGACAAAGAAAGAAGAAGTTCTGACACTCATTTGAAAGATTTCAGTTAGTCAAGAAGATTGGCAATCTGGGAATAATTTCATTCCATCAATCGTACATTTTCAAGTCTTTACCAGATAATGTTATGACAACATAAAACTTATCATCTTTATACAACAATGGCCAAAGCAGACAGCTTGCATTCCTAGAAAATGAAATGGAATATATTTCAGGAATAAATCCTTCTCAATCGTACCTTTTCAGCAGAAGAAGCACGACCAGAATTTGCCCCAGCACCTAACCGGCTTATCAAATCTTTTGTCTGCTCAATCTCCTTCTGTTGCATCTCCCACGCAGCATATTGAGATTCAACCCATGATGCATTCGCCTCAACATACTGAGAATAATTACCCTCAAATGTCCTGGGAACACCCATATCAGTCTCCACAATCTTTGTGCACAGCTGATCTAGAAAAGCTCTATCGTGGGATATAATGACCATTGGAACATCTTGCTTGTTGAGATACCCTTCAAGCCACTCAATTATATCGAGGTCAAGGTGACTTGTAGGCTCGTCCAAAAGAAAAAAATCAGGTTCCTGCAAATTTACATCTATATCAACAAAATAACTAGAATACCAATTTACTCTACTATGTATCGTACGCATGACCCATGTATTAACAACCTACACATCATCAAAAGATATATAACAAGTTAACCTGTTAATAGTAAAAATTTGCAGCCCGAGTCCAATCATAGCTATAACTTATGCAAAAGTAAACAATGTTGTTTTGAACATTACTATTACTATGAAAATATACATTTAAAAACAATATATTTGTTAGCCATCAACGAATCAACCTCCTATGCAATTCTAGAAGTGAACTCCTATACCTCTTAACCTCTACAAATTAGGCTCAAGAAATTCATTTCCCCTACTTCATTTAACAAAGCAAAAAAGAAACCTTTGGTTAAACTAGGCAACTATCATGATATCAAATTAATAATTTTACCTGCAACAAGATCTTTCCAAGTGACATCCTCATCTGCCAACTGCTACTAAAACTGGCAACCAACCTATCCGAATCCTCAAGAGAAAACCCGAGCTCCGACATCAACTTGCTAGCCTTAGCATCAACCTCATCCAAATCAACAGCCTGAGCTCTTCTTTGCAACAAATCAAACTCATCCAAAAGCCTTCCCATCAGCTCCAAATCCTTGGTAGTCCCTTATATCGCCTTTTGAACCCTCTCTAACCTCTCAGAAATATCCATTTCCTCTTTAAAGGAACTCATAAACTCCTCCCTCACTGTCCTAGTCATCGAAACCTCGAATTCCTAGTTCAAGAACGCAATTTTCATGTGGGGCTTAGCCTTTATAACGTTCCCCGAATCGGGTTCTTCTAGCCCAGCTATAATTCTCATTTGGGTCGTTTTCCCTGCTTCGTTTACTCCAACCAATCCAACTTTCTCGCATTTTTTCACTTCCCAGCTCACATCTTTCAAAACCGTTACTCCTTTATAGCTCTTGCTAATGTTTTCGAGCTTTACACTAGAGGAAATACCCGAAGCACCGGTGTTGGATTGCCTGTTGCCACGCTTCCGATCAATCTCTTCCACAGTGTCGGATGAAAACAATGATTCAATGTCGTTTTGAGGGTCCTTGATGGAGGTCTCAACACTGAGAGTGGAAACTTGGGAAGTTATCTTAGAGGGTCTAAATTTAAGGCATTTGGGGAGGCAAGTGAGCAGGAACCCAGAAACATATGCTAGCGGGGAGAAGAAAGGGAGTGGAGAATAAGATATCGCGCAGAAATAAGCTGGAGAAGAAGGGTATTTTAGCCCTTAGGACGGGAATAAAATAAAACCTAACATACATACGGGAATAACATTCCCAGGAATAAAATCCCAAAAATTACTATTGGTATTATAACATTACCCTCACTTGGGAATTATACCCAACCAAACATGGGTATCTTTCATCAGTAAACAAATATGCCTGTTGGGAATGTTAAATTCCTTGATCCAAATAGACTCTTAGTCGTTTAAAAGTAGTGTGGTGGTAGATTGGATAAACTGCAATGTATGGAGCAACACGATCAAACAAAACGGAATTACTTACCACTGCAATGTCCTGGAGGATGGAACATCAATATAGTCGTTTAAACTGCATGTTATTTTTTTCCAAACCAACCAAAAGTTTTTTTTATACTATGAATCTTATACTTGGAAATGGGCCCTAGTCATTTCAAACCAATCAAAAGTTGTTCCTGCATGAAGCAACTATGGAAAAATCAGCAAATGAAACAAACATATGAATATGATCCTGGATATCAACCAGCCCTTGGTTAAGTATACTTATGCTTTGACTTCTGAAGTGTTGAATACAAAGAAAAACCTATAAAGAGAATCAGAAAACACTAATCTTGTATAGTTAAACAACTCTCATTCATTGGCCCACACTAGCAGAACCAGCAACAATACCTGCGAAGAAAGTCAAGCACAAAGGAAAATCACCTTGGATATCTTCACAATGTGAGCAGGCTAGCTTATTTTCTCTTGGGAAGTCTAATGGAATCCTTACAAGGCATTGGAATGATTTATACAAGGTTGATGATGGAGATATAGCTAATTATTTTTTCACAATTCTTATTTCTTTCTCAACATAAATATTTTATTAACTTAAAAAAATTGTCAAATTCATTTGTAACACACTTGCGAGACATATTGTTAAATTTGCTCAAGTGTGATTTTTGGTGTTTAATTTGTGCAAACATATTTGCCTTTATGAGGTTTCTCTTTTGTTTGCTAAATTCGTAATTACTCTTAGCGGAGAGTGTGCATTCAAGGTTTTGGGGTATAAACCTTATAGTATTTGTATGGTTACATATTGTCCTTAAAGGTTTGCAAATATAGTGGATTTGATAAAGCCTTAGTGTGGATGCTAAGGTAATGGATGTAGCCTTGGTTTAGAAAGTCGAACCACTCTAAATTCTTTGTACAATAGTTTAATTTTTGATAGCTTCCACCACAAAGTTATTAAAGGTCAATTCACCCTCCTCTTGGCTATTTCAGTTGATTGATAAAGCTAACAACTAGTATAAGAGCGAGTCACAATCGACGATTTAACAACCTTATGAATATCTTAGAAGAGCTCTATCAACTTATTCTATCAATCGATAAAGATGGCTTCAAATTTGGCTCATACAATGTTGAAGACTCCCAATCCATTTCAAGACCTCCATACTTCAATGGTATAAAATACTCATATTGAAAGAATAGGATGAGTTTGTTCATTCAAGCCACCGATCTTGATGTTTGGGATACAATCATCGGCGATTCTCCCAACCCTCCAAGAAACCGGTCGGAGTGGACCAATGAAGATAAGAAGCTCGCCTAACTCAATGCTAAAGCCATGCACATTCTCTTTTGTGCACTTGGGCCAGACAAATATAGTAGAGTATCTTCATGCTCTAATGTTAAGGAGATATGGGACAAGTTGGTGATGGCTCATGAAGGAACAAGCCAAGTGAAGAAATCCAAGATTGGCATCCGCATTTCTCAATTACGAGAACTTCAAGATGAAGCCCGATAAAGACAATATTCGATAGGTTCAATTTAATAATTAACGATTTGAAGAACTTTGAGAAGGCCTATCCAATGAAGAAGTAGTGAGAAAAGAGCTTGCCTCATTGCCTACATCTTGGGAAGGCAAAACAACCGCTATCGAAGAAGTAAAGGATTTTGAGTTGTACACCCTCGATGAGCTAATTGGGCATTTCTCAAATCCTCCAATGAACACAAACAAGATTCAAGTGAAGAGGTGGATGATGAAGATGAAGATAGGACCAATCTCTTTAAGAAATTCAAGAGATTCATGTCATCCAAAGAAAAAAGAAAGAAAGTATGAATCGAAGAATGGGAATGATCCTATCATATGCTACCATTATTAAAAATCAGGACACTTTGAGTATGATTGTCCCCACTTAAAGAAGAAAGGATCAAGCAAGCCAAAGAAGAAGGCTTTTGTGGTTACATGGAGTGATGAAGACTCCACCGATGATGAAGAGAATGAAGTAGCCAATCTTTGCTTCATGGTCATCCAAGAAGATTCAAAGGTATCATCTAACCCATCTAATTCAAATTCAAATACATATGATGAGTTGCAAGATGCCTATGATGAATTATTTTTAGAATGTGAAGTCATGATCTCAAAACACAAAAATATTCATTGAAAGTTGAAAATAAAAAAATGACTCATTTTCTAAGACTAATAGTGAACTTGAAAGCCAAGTCAATGATTTACAAGAAAAATTAAATGTTTTTGAGAAAAAGAATTTAGACTTGCAAAACTTGTTTTCCAAAGTTCACGAGGATCATTAAAGGTGATAATCTTAAGAAAGAAAATGCTAATTTTGAAAAAAAATTAAAAGTAAATTTGAAAGAGGAGATTGCTCCAAATCAAATTTTGTCAAAAATGGCTTTTACAATAGACATACTTATTCCCCCAAATTTTATAACGGAAAAATGATTAGGAGTATATGGATCCCTAAATGACTCATTTCTATAATTTTTTTTTGGATATCCCATCTTCATGGATACCTGAGGGGACTAGATTGTTCAAAACTAACATAAATGGACCAAAAAAGATTTGGGTACCAAAAAGTACATAATTGTCTATTGTAGGTGTGTTGCATCTATGGTGAGCAAAGTCAAGCTATTTTGGAGCCCCAAAAACACACTAAGGAATAAAACTTGAAGAAAGGAAGACTTAACCAATCAACCTTACTTCAAGTGGTAAAATATTTCAATTTCATGCAATTTTATGTTTTTATGTGATTATACTTATTTTTGTGCTTGATTGTATGTCTCCTTCTGGTGACTTATTACATTTAGTAAGGGGGAGTTAATATTGCATGAAGTAGATTCTTGTGGCCTTATATGATTAATTTGATATCTTATGGCCTTAAATTCTTTTTGATATGTTTTGGACCTTGTTTGATATAACTAATACTTTCTTCAAAAATCCATAACATACATTTTAGTAAAGTACCTAGCAAAACATTAAATTTAGTGTCCAATCTTTATCTATAGTGCCTAAATAAGTTTCTAGTGTTTTTCATAGTCTTAAAATCATTAGGTGCTTATTCTGGAATGTCTTAATGGTTTAAAATGTCATTTTTGACATTTTCAGGTTGTTGGTATCGAGATCATTCCATCGGTATCGAGACCATAATTCCAGTATCCCAAATCGGTACTGATACCATCTTTCAGTATCGATACCCATAAAAAAGTCTCGAGACCACCTATCTCGGTATCGAGACTGAGGTCCTTGTACGCGTGAAATCGTGCTTTTATTTCAAAAATGCCCAAATTCTTCATTATTTTAAAACCTTAACCTACTTGTTATCAAAATCCTCTCAAATCCACCCTACAAAATTCCGATTTCACTCAAATTTTCACTCACATTCATCATCCTTGGATAGTATCAAGTGGACTTGCATCAAGGGGCTCATCAAAATCCATATTTTTAATAAAAATTTTGAGGTATTTTCGAATGAACTCATTTATACAATTTTTATGGTTTATTTTTTAATGGCTCTAATCATGTTTTTATAATGATTCTTGCTACTAAAAGTTATTACATATCTTTTGAACGCATTTCCAT